CGTTCATTAAAAGCGGTTCTGCAATGCCCCTTTAATGTAATAGTGGTGGTGGTGGTAGTAATAGTAGTAGTAGTAGTAGTAGTAGTAGTAGTAGTAATGGTAACAGCAGCGGCAGAAATAGACTGCTGCTATCAACTTGTCAGTTATCAATGATATCATCATTAGATACGTTATTATCACTACTGCAAAACACTTGTTTATGATTTGTGCCTGTGTATTTTTCTGTGTGCATGTCTTCTTCTTCTTGTCATTAGTCTTAACATCGTTAACTAGCCCCTGCTTTTATGACAATTTATGATTGTATCGCTTTGGAACTCTAGTATGCATGATGCTGCTATGAGTCAACATGCCACCCTAAACTCTAAACCCTAAACCCTAAACACTTAACCCCAAACCCCTTCCCCCCCTCTTCGCCAGCTTCTCCATGCTTCTCCCATGGCCTCGGCACGGAGCCGGTGGCCATCTGCATGTAAGCAACACCAAGCTCCGGCTTCGGCGCAGGAGCGGCCTCCTTTAAAGGAGGGAGTAGAGGATTCTATAATAGGGTCCCCTTTTGCAGGGGTAGTAAGGGGTTCTAGAATCGGGTCCCCTTTTAAGGGGGGGGGGGGGAGGCTTGGGGGCTTAGGGGCTTACGGGCTTGGGGTTTAGGGACCTGCTTTTGGGGCTTCATGCCTTCGGTCTTGAGGCCTTGAGGGCGTGTTTGGGGGTGACCGTCGCAGGCGTTCCGGAAGTCGCGCTTTCACCGTTTCAGGCTGGGTTTTTGGGATTGGGCCACACACACACACACCTTGCAACGCGAAGACAGCCCCAAAGTCCCCCAGTGCAACTTGGTCTTCGGGCTTAGGCGGCAGCCTTTGAGCCGGAAAAAAACATCTAGGGTTGCTGTCAAGTCTACATCCCAGAGCTTGTGCTGCCGACATTTGGGTTTAGCGAAGTGCTCTTTTTGGGGGGGATTTCCGTGCCTGGTTTTGGGTGAACATGTGTGATCTCTGCGATCGCTTCAGCTTCCCCTCCGATCCCAAGCTTCGCGGGATACCCTGAAACCACCGGTGGTGAAGTGCTAACCGGATACCATTAGGAATCCTCCTGGATTCAACCCTGCATCGAAACGCCGCAGCTTCGGAATCGGAGGACAAAGGAGCATCGGCTTCTGAAGCGAAAGCGCCTTCAGAAAGCAAGATAATGATGGCAGGTGCTCTTGCGTTGCTTCGTCCCTGCTTGGAGCTTCAGCGCTGTATCGGGTAGAACCTGGAGGCTGCGCAACACCGCAAAAGTATCTGCGCAGAGAGTTGGAAAAACGCTCACTCAACATAGAGGGTCCATCAGTGAGACCCGAAGCAGGAATCTGGCAGCCAACTATTGACAATCCATCGTGAATCGTCTGCTTCCATGCCAACCATCCGACCGTCTCCGGACCTTTCTCTCACAAGTGCTGATGGCCGCATTGTAGGATATGTCAGAAGCTCCGATGCGAGTCCGATCCATTTGATAAAGCAGATGCAAAGAGCTCTTCCAGCAACCGGCCTTCTCACCGGCACTGATGGCTCCGTTGAAGCAGATCTCGTTCGGGAGAAATCGTGACTGGGACATGGCTGATAATCGTTGAAGAGCCTTTGGCCACATTGAGCCTTTCTCACAAGCACTTATGGTGCTGCTGTGGCTGATTTCGTCTGCGCCCGTCTGTGCATGGCCAAGGCCAGCAAGAAGATACAGAGCCGCCTGCCACTCGCCCACTTTACCCACGGCGCTGATGGCAGCATTGACGCTGACATCGTTGGGCCGGAGCGGTGCTCGCAACATCGCAGCAAGCAGTTCAAGTGCAAGTCTCCATTCTTCACCTTTCTCCGACGCACTGATCGTGGCTGCGATGTGGACGTAGTTGCAGCGCAAAGACCACACCAGCACTTTTGTGAGAAGCTGCTGTGCGATCTGCCACTGCAGCCCCTTTTCACAGGCACTTATTGCAGAACCGATCGTGACCTCGTTGGCACTGCACTGACCATCTGCCATGCCAGAAAGCAATCGCAAGGCCGTCTGCCACTGCTCAGAGCCCCTCCAGGCGCAACCATGGATTGCTGCGCTGAAACTGATCTCACTTGCACGAACCATGGCCCGAGGCATGGCAGTCAGCAAAAACAAAGCGAGCTGCCATTCTGAACTTGTGGCACAAGCGCTGATGGCCGCATTGTAGCTGATGCTATCCGGCAGTAGGTCAGCAGTTGACAATCCAAACAACAGTGCCAGTGCCTTGTCCCATTGCCCGGCCTTCTCGCATGCGCTGATAGCAGCGTTGAAGCTTACCAGGTTGGCAGCGATACTTGCAATCCCCATGCCATGCAACAGCAGCAGTGCAACATCCCACTGCCCACCCTTCTCGCATGCACTAATTGCAGAGTTGAAACTTATGCGATCTGGGAGAATAGCTCGTGACGGCATGTCGAAAAGCAGCTGGAGAGCCGTCTGCCACTTTCCAGCCTTCTCAGCAGCGCTGATTGCGGCATTGTAGCTGATGGTGTTGGCTCGGAGCTGCCGGCCGGACATCTCCGACAGTAGCTGTAAGCTTACGTCCCACCTCGAACCTCGTCCGCAAGCGCTGATGGAAGCATTGTAGCTTATGGTGTCTGCTTCAAGTTCAGCTTGAGGCATGTCTGCTAGGAGCTGCATGGCAACAGACCAGTGCCCCGCCTTTTCACAGGCGGTGATGGTCGTATTGATGCTGATCTCATTTGCAAGCACATGAGAGCTAGCCATAGTCCAAAGCAGCTGTAGGGCACTTTGCCAACATGCACCCTGCACGCAACTGCTAAGGGCTGTGTTGTAGGTGATCGCATTAATCTGAACTTTGGTCTTCATCTCCAGAAAGACTTGCCATGCTTGGTGCCAGCGGCCTGCTTTGACCAGCACTGCAAGCACCATGTTCAGACTTCGTGTTTCCGTGGGCGTTGTCATCGCCTCCTTCGCCAGAAGATGAAGCGCGGCTTGCCAGCGACGGGAGACACCACAGGTGTGGATGTTGCTTGCACCAGCCATTTCCTCAACTGCGCTTCGTCCAGCGATCGAGGTCTCCAGAACATCCATGTCCTCGCTATGGCGTGCTGCTGGCATCGGCTTCTTCACCCTTGGCAACTTCCTTGGAGGGTGCCTTCTGCTGGCAGGACCCTGGAGGTTTTGGATGGAGAGCCGCAGCGGATGCAAAACAAGCCTCGTGACCTCACATGGCCCAACAAGCGCACCAGCGCCGGAATAACTGAATGCAACCGTGCGTGACCCCAACGGCTCCCTGCTCTCTCAATATAGACTACAATCGGGATTCTGCAGCGAAAGCCTCGAAGGCCTCAACAACAATAATATAGAGTCTTGGGTGTATATAGTGCTGAGACTCAAGACAAGGAATCGTGTGGCCCTGTCAACAGGTCTTCGAGTGTTTTGCAGGTTTAGGGTGGGTTCAGTTGCCCCAAACCCTGACCCTGTAGACTTTCTTTGGTTTAGGCTTTTGGGTTCAGGGTTTCGAACTCGGCTCCAATTCCAGGAACCTCAAGGTTCGGGCCAAAGGGACCCACGGGAGAACACTGACCAAGCGCTGCCTCAGCGGGGCATGGGCAGCGCTGGCCCGCCTCGCCTGCCGCCTTTCCAGCACAAGCAAACCCGGGTTTTGTTGGAGCCGGTGACGGTCTGCCGCAGTGCGAGAAACGAGGGCTTGCCAGAAATCTCCAAGCATCCAACAGCCAATGACCTTAACCTCTCTGAAGGTCGCAGCCGGAATGGCACGGAGTTCCAGGCTGTTCTACAGCTACACTACTGAAGCTGCCACCTAGCATCCGAGCTAGACGGCCCGCAACCCTAGCCCACTGAAGCCCAGCCTGCACCAAGGGCTCTTGGACCTCCATCAAGCACTGAGGCGGCAAACCGAGTGGAGCACGACGCACAGCACATGTGGACTTCTGCCACGTGGGCCATCAATCGGAACCATCCAGTGCCCTCCCCCCAAACAAGGAAAGCTCAATCCAAATCCAGCCCACTGGAACTCTGTTCTTCGGAACTTGAAATTCCTGTGACACTTCAGCGGTTCAAAGGGATCGGAGAATCGGAGACTACAGGTGGATACCTGGTTGTATGCAGAACTTGTAAATACACGTCTATCCCTGCGCTGCGAGGCACTCCGCGCTGATACTGCCGATGTAGGTGGTGTTTGCCGGAGGCGGTTTGTGCAGCGTACAGTGCCCGGAAGTAAAGCGTACAGAGCCCGGAAGTAGCCAGCGTTAAAGCTTCCAGAGTGGAGGCTAGGCCTTCGAAACACTTGGGATAAGTGCTGGATCGCTTTCACGGGTCCTTACGCGAATCTCAGCTCAAACAACCACATGCCACTGTATAGAATCCCATTTTGCGACAGGCTTGTTGAATTCACGTCTGGGGAACTCTTGGGACATGCACGGATCTTGCCAACAACGGAATCCCCCGTTTGCATCCGGGCCCCCTTCCTGCAAAGGAATCCCTTCTTTTGCACCAGGACTTGGCCTGAAGGTATTCCTCTCAACCCCGAATCCCTGAACATCCTTGAACCCATGCCCTGAGCCTTGCGGACCAGGCTGAGCCTGCCGTCCGGGCCTTTCACCCGCGCCAGGCCGGGATGCCAGGGCTGCGGGATCCTGGCAACAAACTAATCGCATTTTAGTCTGCTTTCTGGGCTTCGGGCCTTTAGGGTTTCGGGTGAAGGGCCCAGAAGTGTTAGGCCGTGGACTCCTCTTTGCTCTTGCAGGGTCTAGGGGTGTTAGAGCTCTGAGGGCTCTTAGGGTTCAGGGCCTGTCACTGTTGGCTTGGATGCTTTTCGGGCTCAGAGTCCGGCTCCAGGTGACTCTGACAGCTGGGAGACGCCAGGGTGCATTGGGGGTGCGAGCAGCTGGTTTGACTAACATATCACAGCTCCCCATGGCAAGTCAGAACACGACTGCTGTCGTCTTGATCGCCGACTGCTTTTTGGGCAGAGCTTTGTAGCTCTTTCTATGGACAACTTAAGTGCAGACATGCGCATGCTGGGGTTGGTCCTTCGGGCACTGGATTTGAGACTTCGGGCTGCGCCATACATGCCGCGAAGATCCGTGTCGACATGCATGCAGAACATCAAATCCGATCCACGAACAAAAAAGCTAGTCACACAACCTGTGCACTGAACATGGCAATTGGAAAAAATGCACATGCCATGCCAATGCCAATGAGCAGTAGTACTAGTACCGATAAAAGCTACTTCGGCAACAAATAATGAACTCCCGTTCACAACAGCCTTACAAAACGGAGTTGAATTCGAGAAGTTGGGCAGAAGGCCAGCGGCAGCAACATCGCAGCCCTTAACCCTAAACCCTAAACCCAATCTACACCTCCTGGCCCGGCCTGAGGCTCGGCGAGAAGAAGCTGCTAGCAACGCTTGCTGGCAGCAGTGCCCAGGTGAGCAGCGCCAGGGCACGGCTACATTGCCTAGCTCCATGAGGGCTTAGGGTTTAGGCGGTTTACGAGCTTCTAGACTCTAGAGGTTTCTGCATTCGCTACGTGGCGTTGTGGACTAGGTTTGGTATCCGCCGATCCGCCGACCCTGCGGGGGCGGCGCTCAGAAGTTGCGTTACCGGCTCCGCTTTCGGCTTCGCTCACTTCACGCGGGATTTCGCTGCACGAGTTTACCGGCTTTCTTGGCATGTTCTCGTGGTTTTGTTGTGGTAGTTGATACATTTAATTCTACTCCAATGCATGCAAAAAGACACAAAAGACGCACCGCCCGCTACCCTGCCCGCCCCGGCCCTCCTTGGCTTGTTTTCATGCTATTGTGATAGTAGTTGAGTCATTTAATTCGAGTCCAGTGCATGCCCAACCCCTCAAAAAAAAAACACAAAAGACACCACCCTGCCCTCCCCGGCCCTCCTTGGCTTGTTTTCATTGTATTTTGGTGGTAGTCGAATCATTTAATTACACTCCAACGCATGACCAACGATTCCATCCCCAGCTAGCGCTACACATGCCCCTCAGAACCTGCTTCAGTTCGCCCATGCTTAACCCGTCTAACCCTCCACGCTCCACAAGGCCCCACAGCGCCCATTCGCGCCAGTTTTGTCTTCTTGCCCCTCTAGACCCGGGACCTCTCAGCACTTTCCAGATTATCCTCACAGAGCCTCGCAGCTTTTGTCCTTCCCTTGAGCGATTACGGCCGGACCACTCATTGCTGACCACCTGCCGTTTCCGAACCCACCCCAGCCCAATGCATTCCCAACTTCGCCGGACCCTCCAGTGCTCACCCCCTACCCTTTCCTGGCCCTTGAAGTAATCTAATGCAAGCCCAACGCATGCCCAACCCCTCCCTGCTCAATGCATGCTCAAGCTCTCCAAACCCCCCAGCCCCTCAGTGCCCACCGCCCTGCCCTTCCCGGCCCTTGTCAAATGTGTGTGTGTGTGTGTGTCTGTGTGTGTGTGTGTGTCTGTGTCTGTGTGTGTGTGTGTCTGTGTGTGTCTGTGTGTGTCTGTGTGTGTCTGTGTGTGTGTCTGTGTATGTGTGTGTGTGTATATGTATGTGTGTGTGTGTATATGTGTGTGTGTATATATGTGTGTGTGTATATATGTGTGTGTATGTGTGTGTGTGTGTATGTGTGTGTGTATGTGTGTGTGTGTGTGCGTGGGTGTGCGTGGGTGTGCGGGTGTGTGTGTGTGTGAGTGAAGTATTTGAATGCATGAATGTTTAACCTAGCTTTGCCCCCCAAACCCCTCAGCGCCCACCGCCCAGCCCTTCCCGGTCCTTGTCAAGTATGTGAAGTATATGAGTCGTTTGAGTCCTCTAATACAAGCCCTATGCATGCCCAACCCTTGTTTGCCCCCCCAAACACCCTGCGCGCCCGCAGCGGCCCAGGCAGCGCGAGGCGATGTTTTGCCATTTTCGGAAGCCCCCAAAGGGTGCACATCATCATCAGCGGGGTGTGGAGGACGGGGTGGAGAGGCAAAGGACGTGCGCGCGTTCGCGCGCACCCTGTCTGCAGTCGCGCCCGGCTAGCTCCGGGCTGATACCTGCACTGCCCGCCCGTGGGCGCAGCCCCTAGAATAAGCTCTACACCCCAAGGTTTACCGACTCAGAGGCTTGGTCTCTGCCCCTCGCAGGACTCGGAAGGGACCCCATGCGTTTTTCTTTCTTTCTGTTGCGCGTCGTACTACGTCACTGCACTTAGCCGCACTAGCCTTTGGGCCTGAGGCCCGCCCACTCACCCCCTGTTCTAAGTGAGTGGCTCAATAATCCCCTTTCTCTCAAGGATGCAGGATACAAAGTCATCGTGAATGCGCCAGTTCCGCAATTGTCAAGTCGATGCGTCCGGAAACACATCTGTTGTATACTCACGGAAGGAGCTCGCTCAAACGTATTGAATACAGACAGCCTCCCACCTCCTCACAGTGGTCCTGCAGTCTACGGGTGACTTTGTCTGTCCAGAAATCATCTCCAACAGGAAAGCAAAACCAAACTGCGGCTCAGCTGCATGGCTCCGGTCGTGCAGAAATCCGCACTGCCAATCGCTGCCCGCTGTGCGTTCTAACAAGATATGGACTAGAAAAGTTCACGCGAGGTTCCCACTGCGAACACACACATGCACTTCGGCATTAAACTCGAGCTTGGAGTTGTTCATGTCCTCCCATCTGCAGCGGGGAAACCGGAGCTGCAAGCCAGAAAGGATTCAGCGCATGCAAAGACATGAGATAAACAGCAGACACGAGCCTCTGTCAATTCAAACGGGTCAAGGCCACGGCCCTGCGACAGCTTGCATTCCCAATCCCCTCCAGGCTACAGGCTAGAACCGCCGGATGCTCGAAACACCCACCAGAGCCTCGAGCTGCACCCCCGCCCAAAAGAAATTTTTCAAACAAAAATCTCTAGGCAAAAGCCGCCTGCCGGTGCGGCATCCGCTTCTCTGGGGGCAGGGACTCGTCCAGCTCCAGCATGCCAAGGACCTTGGGAAGCTCGGCGAGGCCAAGTTAGAGGAAACTAGGGGAAGGTGTGGTTTCATGTCTCCGGCTTATCGAGTTCCTTGGGAGCCAAACGGCTCTTGGTGAGTTGGGTCGGGTCTCAGGCAGAAAAAAGCGAAGGAAGTCCGTGCTCGCAGACACCTGAGGAAGTCCACCACCCTAAAACCCTGAACCCTAAAACCCTAAAACCCTAAACCCTAAAACCCTAAAACCCTAAAACCCTCAACCCTAAATGCCAAAACCCCAGAAGCTGCAGCCCTAAACGCCCTGAAAGCGTCTCTTGGGGGAAGCTCGGAGCCGAAGGGCATCCTCATAGACATCCTCCGCCAGGTACCGCTCCGTGAGGCTATGGGTGGCAAACAGGAAGACGCCTCAAAAAAGGCACCCGGTGGGATTTAGGGTTTAGGGTTTTTTTTGGGGGGGTTTGGGGTTTAGGGTTTTTGGGGTTTGGGGGTTTAGGGGTTGAGGGGTTTTTGGGGTTTAGGGGAGGCTTCGATTCTTCCGGGGCTCCAAAGGCTTCTTCCCTCCAGGGTAAGTTCAGAGATGCTGCGCACATCAGTGTCAGCTGAGCTCTCATGGACCACTCGAAGGGTTTAGGGTTCATGCCTGGAAGCCCAGCAGCCTCAGGCTCCAAAGCCACTGAAGATGCTCGACTTCGCAGTTGCAACTTAGGATCTACCCCTGTCGGCGACCCTGGGAATTAGAAGAATTAGGGAGTTGAGTAGAAGTCTCCTTTCAGGACCTCGTGTCCAGCGGAGCCGGGCCTTTCACTATCTGGAAGATGAAGGACAGGTCCTTGAGGCTCTGGAGGTCCTCCGCTGCACAAGCTTCAGGTCCAAGAGGGGGATGGAGGCACGCTCAGATTACGCTGCTCCTCCGCACTGTGGAAGGACTCCCGGAGTTCCTGCCACTCTATGGGGCGATGCAGGACATTTTCGGCTGGGAGGTGTCTGAAGTGAAGGAGTTTAAGACGCCAGCCTTACAAATTCAGCTGAGTTCCAGAACAGCCTTCGGCAGGCCTAGAACCTGAAAGGCCACAACCACAGGATCCCAGCAAAAGACAAACGCCATCCCGACATCGTGTCAACTATTGGGGTATAGTATACTATAATTATAATAAGGTTTCCCCACAATAGTATAGGTAATTATATGCTCAATTGCTGGCTTCATGCGGACATGACGAGGAAAGCCTGCCTGACTACTCAGCATGCTGGTCTTTCAGACCGCTGTACTGCAACTACAACTGACAATGTAGCCCATTAAGCCGGTTTTCCATGATGCAATGAATGTGCCTGGAAATCCACAGTACACATGCCAAGTGGGGTGCTAGACACTGTCGGGAGAGTAGTGCTCAGGAGAGGAAGCACCGTGGTGTCATTCCTGCAGATAGGAACAGCACCTGATGAAGTACAGTAGATGCATGCACATCCCTAATTTGTTGAAAGCATATACACTCCTGTGCACGGGGGTGCGGTCACAGATATGCTAGAAGCACTGCATGACATGCGCACACGGATGCAAATTGAGCCTTCTGGATTGATTGATTGATTGATTGGTTGATTGATATTAATGTCCATGGCGATGCGGCATTGTCACCACAGTTCGTCTCGGCAACATATGCTAATTCCTAAGACAGGTCAACGGCGACAGTACCAGAAGTGTTTGTGCTGATGACAATTGTTGACGGTAAGCACCGTGGAAATACATGGGAACCAAATCACAACCAAGCCTCTCACTCGGACATGAGAGCAAGCTCCTGCACGAACTCCTCACTGACAAGTTCGGCAGCAAGTCCTTCTCGCTGGCCTTTCAGGACAGTCCCGATTCTTACATGGCTTCAGTCCTGGAACTGTTGGAAAAATGTTGGTTCGCCAGTGCTTTCGCAACTTTAGAACTCATGCTCTTATCAAGACTTTAGCATCACAAGTCTTACCGTGAGGGCTGTCAACTTCTGGCCAAAGCCGCTTGGGCTCGGCCTTGCCATAACATGCCACAATGCTCCCCGCAAGCCGCACCGACCGCAGTAGCAGGGTTTTCTATCCCGGAGCCTGGGGCCCAGGGATGATGCTCAAGCGAGCAGCGCATCCGAACTCTGAGAGTCCAAGCTAATGCGGAAGGATGTGCGGGCAGGGCCCGGCCTGGCGCGACGTACTGCAGCTTTCTTGCGAGCTCCTGCAATTGGCGGCGCACAAAACACAGGAACCCAGACACGCCCGTAGAGATCATCAGAAGGCCTCTGATACCTGATTTTTACGAGCAACGTTTTGACCAAAGCCGCCGTCACCACCAGCAACAACCACAGCGAGAAAAGACGACGACGACAAACTCGCCACCGCTACCATCATTTTCATCACTGGCATCGTCGTCATCGTCGCGGAAACGCGAAGGTGCTGCAGCTTGCACATCGCAACCCTATCTATTGAACAGGAAGGCGAAAAGATGAAAAAAACAAGGAACGAGACACACGACATGTCTGAAACATTGTGAATCAAACTTGGTGCTCAGAAGGAGCCATTGATGAACAGAGCAGTTGATAGGAAAGATCTCATCGAGTCGTCTATCAAGCTGCGTACCTGAACCGATGGCATCAAGATGTCATTCAATTCCCGTCCTGAGAACCCTAACTCGAAGCCGCTGAACCCGCATGAACCCGCAAGCGGGTGTGACGGATCCTTGAGATGTGCAATACGATTTCGGCACCGACGGCTCTGATGGTTGATTGTTGTAACCAAACCCGCACAGGCCCAAACGGGACACAATGTTGTGACACAATGTGGGCAAAGTGAACAGGAACGCCAGTCAAAGCTGTGCAGAAACCCAAAACCAACACATAACAACACGTAACGAGCCTAACCGCAAACCCTGAACCGAGCCTGATAAACCCGAAACCCTAAACCCCAAGGAGCAGGCCTGGAGATTGGGAAGCTTCGGTGGAGGAAGCATCCGCTTCTGCTCACTAGGCCTCGGGGCTCAGGCTCATCCGCTTCGGAGGAAGGCAACTGTAGCCAGGGTTGATAAGTTTAGGGTTTAGGGTTTCGGGCTCAGGGGGAACCTATGGTGAAATCAAGGAAGCCAGGGAAAGCAAACACTGGTTGGAAAGCAATGCCAGCAAAGGTGTTATTTGCAGTGCATGCTCAAGAACTGCTTAGCTCGTGGTTCTTCCGATGTTGTTCGTACTGTGGCATTCGAAAGATTCAGAAAACTTCCAAGAGCCAGCCAGCACTCTGGAGGAGTGTAGAGCAACCATCATCTGATCGGCCATGCGACTGCTCATGCTTCGCCGCTTCAGGTACAACATTGACGCAGAGAGTCACTGCCACACAGCAGTACTGGCAATGATGCGAGTTACCTACTAACTGGTGCAGTGCTGTCAATCACTGCCGCATCGTATTCAGAGGCTTGCACCCATTCCCACACAATGGACAGAAATTCTGACCAAGCTTTCGTGCGAGTCGCACTGGTATATTGCATTCTTGTCATGAGAACAAGTCACTTGCCTTGCCGACGATCTGGGGGACACACTCGTGGCAAATGAGCTTGTATATCTCCTGCGTGCGCCCAAAGCCCTAGAAGCCACTGATCCCCAAACCTGTCCAGAGCTCTTGAAACGGAACCCTTGGAGGCATCCTTCAAAAAGACAACACCCCAAAAAAGCCCTTTAGCCTTGAAAGAACTGATCCCGAATCCCCGGTGGACCTGGGAGCCAACCTCGTCCTGGAAGCTCAGAGCCTCGGAGCACTCGAGGTCTTCGGGTTTAGAGTTTAGGGTTTAGGGTTTAGGGTTTTTGTTTTTTGACACCCCGTCTCCGTCCGCACGATTCGCTTGGTTGGAAGGCCTGGTAGGCTGAGGTGAAGGGTGCAAGGACCTGTTTGATGGGATTCACCACCCTACCCCCATCTAACCTTCACCCCAACGGCGGGCCCTAGGGTTTTTTTCCCTCCCTAGGGTTTTTTCCCTCTCGCATGGCTAAGGATCAATGCCCACAAGCGAGGTTGGCTAAGGGAGATTTGTCGAAAAGTGACTGTGCGAAACAAGGTTATTCAATCACCGACCAAGCCTAGCCCTATTTCGACCTAAGAGATCAGTGACAATGAACAACCTTGTTTGTCTAGGTAGTGTCACGCTCACTGCTCCCTAGATTTGACAATAGAGACCCTCGGGGGGTGAGCAATCGAACTCCCTAGGGTTTAGGGTTTAGGGTTTAGGGTTTCTGACTGTCACTGTACTCTTCTTATTGCTATGCTCGCCGTTTCATTCTTCATCTCTCAATACTATCCATACGGCTACTGGGTGCTACTGGTAGTCATCAATGTTTCATCATCAAACCTGACTCATGTACCTGTGTGTATCCGGGACTTCATCTGTCACTTCGGTCGAGAGAATATTAAGCATCTGGAAAGCATGATGATTATTTTTGTAACAAAGACTGACACACACTGATATCATCTGAAACAACACCAACCCCAACAATGAGAGCCCAAAGCCACAAGTGTTCAAAACATTCAGCATGTCGGGCTCGTCGTTCGGTCGAGAAGAACGTGTTTTAGCATGCTGAATGTTGTGTTTCCACTAGCCATTGCTTCTGTCCCGGGTCTTACCGCTGCACTTCAAACCATGCCGGTTGACAACCGATACTGCTACCCAGCACTGTTGCACACATCGCTTCCCCAATCGAGCTTGGATGGATGGAGTTGCCGAGAGCTGCGTTCCGAGAGAAACGGCAGTAGCAGTGTGAAACTTGGGCCACATATGGAGGCCTTTGGGTGCAGCCATCTTGGCTGGCAGCTACAGGAGCCGCAGCACTATGCACTCAACATCGATGGTATCTTTTACCACCAGTGAATCAGGCACGTGCCCTGACGTAATGTACCATTTTCAGCTGCACTACTGGCACCAAAGTGCTTGTGGCACTCTGGTCTGATTGTGTAGACAACTGAAGCCACCTGTTTGCACATGCAATTAACGGGCTGTTCAACATGCCCGGGACGATGCACATGCACAGTCAATACTACTCCCAATCTGAACCGTGTCCGGTCCATGTTGGCTTAGCTGCGTGACGGACCAGCGTATATGGGCGCTTCCAGTCCTTCGGCACATGGGCCACGACTTCGATTCGGAGCTCGGCATCCCAAAGCTTTATCCAGCTAAGCTTGACCACAATGTCTGCACCAACCGGGTCATCCATGTGACCGAGGTACAGCTGATCTTCAGGGGCAGGCAAAACACCCACTGTCGCGACTCCAGGCGCCGACTCCAGGTATTCGGTGTCCGGACCATTTTCCAGCCCAAGCCCATCGCCATGGAAGCCGGAGTCTATGCGCGTGCATGGGAACAAGGATTTGCACTCTCTGTGGATTCGGCAAGCATCGTTCTCCGAGATGCCCCCGCCATTCAGTTTGAGATCAACTAGCGACGGCAAATGCTGTAACCCGGCATCAAGGCGTCCCTTGCAGAGCGTCTCGATGGCGCGAATGCGCTGCACAACTTGTCTATCAGCATGTGCAGGACAAGTGGCATCCAGGACCTTCTGCAGTACTTCGCAAGCTCGTTTGCGACGCCAACCATCGACCACTTCGATCAGCCAGGAACCGGGATTCTGTCCTTCCCGCTGCCGCTTTTCTTGCCACTTCATGAGCAGGTGCTCGTCCGCAAGCTCGGCCAACTCTTGCAGGCTGGTGGACTCAGGGAGAACGAAAGAGACCGAGAAACCCAGGCCCTGGACCTTCACTTCCACGTGGTCCGCCTCATCTCCGAAAAGTAGCCGGGAGAGCTGGGCAGCACCGAGACTCTGCTCTGCCAAAGCCACCCATTTTCGCAGATCATCATAGAACCAATCTTCCAAGCCTGCCCGGAGCTTCATTGCGAGCCCCACAGGCAAGTCCTTCTGAGGAGGCTTCTCTCCAAAGGATGAGGGGAAGGGCAACTGGCGCAAGGTCAAAGAGCCTCGGGTCTCCGCCAAGCCTCCCAGGAGGTAATCTGCCAACATCTCCTTCTCCAGGAGGTCCTGCCATGTCTGAGCATCCTGGGTTCAGTCTTCAGAAGTTGACGAGACGATCAAGTTACCAGAAGAGGCATTACAATCCTTGGCTCTACATTCCTAACTTTGATTCCTTTGATTCTGCCAGATCGGAACACCTTATGCCACCTTCCTCAAGAAGAGCCGAGCATCGGGCACAATCTTGCGGAGCCGCTCGTTGGCCTTGGAGTTGATCTCCTCGATGATGCGTTCGCATCCCTTTCGAAGCCCTGGGACTTCCAGATAGTTTCGGCGGAAGTAGACCAGCTTCCGGCGCGGGATTCGGTCCGGATCTACGTAGCTGGTCTTCAAGAAGAGCGCCAGCTCTTTCTTAAAGCACTGCTCCAGCTGCTGTAAGCTCCTGCCGGCCCACCATTCCTCTCTTTCCTCCTTCACGCGGCATACGCGGCTTCGTTTTGCAGAGGCCGCTGGGTCCGCCTTGGGCAAAGTCCCTTGCGAGCCTGTGGCAGCCTCCGGGTCCTCCTCCGGCTGTGCCCGTGCCGCCGGGCGCTTCGCTACACGCTTGGCTTTGGGCGGCATGGGTCTAGACGGCCTCTAAAACTCACTGAACCGTCTTTCTACCACTGTGGTCTGATGCTAGCAGAACATGCATAGGTGGAGGAAGACTTGAGGTACTAATCAATCACGAGTCCGCATCAGGTGCGGCTGCGACTGCCCATAATATGCACATTGCAATCAAAGCTTATCGAGTATCTGCTTGAGAGGGCCACACGGACGACGGAACAAGCGAAGCTGCAGGCAGGACACCGCCCCCGAGACATCCCGATATGCTTTCTACCAACATGTTAGTCGCTTGCGGTTCTCTTACTCGCCTGCGTCCTTGAGGCATCTAATCAACATCATTAGTACTGGAGGCATATGAGATTCCGATAGGATGCCGCGACCTAAGAAGAAAAGTCTTCAACACCTCACAAAGAGGCCCGACCCCCAAAAAGGCAGCTGGCAGCGGCAGTGCGCCACAGTCGCGTTCTGAGCCCCATGCCCAGTCTTTCTGGTCCTCCTCATCCTCCCAGACGATGATGGTCTTCTGGGCGCCTGAAGCCCAAACCCTGATCCACCGTTCCGAAGCCTTTGGGGCTTCGGGTGTTGGGGTCTGTTGTACTATATGTAGATAGGGACTATACCCTTGCTGTGGTGCCTTCGCCCTGCAGCTGGTAGACATCCTGTGCAAAGACCGGCCGGTCATGGAGCACCTGCCCACCTCAGACGGCCGGCTGGATTCGGCCTCATTTTTTTTGTGCACTTATACCCTCTGCCCAAGCATCCGAATCGCACAGGTGGGTGAGCCAAGGTTTCCCAGGTGCTTCTGCCTACTGAGCCCACCTACACCAAGCCTAAGGCCTCGGGCACACAGGAACACTGTGTCTAACGCCATCGTATTCAGCATGGATGTCATGGCACAGTACAAGTGGGTATGATCATGCTGGGATGCGTAGTGATGGCAAACAGGTACATGGTGTGCCCTCAGCCGTCTTTGCACCAGCATGGAGTCAGCGGCATCAAGACTAGCACTAGGCTGGACCTCAGGACTTCTCTGGTGCGACGGGCTCAGTTCGGTTTCAGCGCTCACACTCCATCCTCTCTCGCCTTAAGTCCCTGGTATCTTGATGATCTAGGGTTTAGTGTTGTAAGGCTTGGGTTGCTACATGTCCTGCGAAACCCCGGTCGCAAGTTGCACAAAAGAGCTACGCCAGTCGGCTCTCCTTGAAGAAAGCATGCTCGGTATTATCCTCTTGCAAGAAAGCTGGCTCAAGGCCCTCACTATCCTCATCTTTGAACTGCAGTCGGCGCTGCTGCCCGGTTCCCACGACGGACCTGAGTTGTCTAGGCGTGGCAGACTCAGACAGCACTTTGCTGTTCAAGTTCCATGCAACTGATTAGGCTTGCTTAGCTTACCTCACGGTCTGCTGTCGCATGCCACTTCGCTGGGCGCCACACGCATGACCGGTCCCGGCCTCTTGCCAGGCGGCGGCATCGTTCAGGATGTAGAGTTTCCCACGATACCTCTGGCCGCAAGAGGGAAGCATCTGTCGCATAGCGGGGAACGCCACAAACCAAGCACAGATGACGACAACGTGAGAAGCTGAGCCGAAAACGAAACCCAGTTACTTTCCCAATGATCTCTCTGACTTGGAATCTGAATCTGAAGGTTGACCGTATTCTGCCAGGCAAGATTTGTCTTCAAGTGTCAGGCTTCTGCTTGTTGCCCTCCACATCCATGGACTGGCTCCTGACGATTGAAGCACAAGAGGCCCAGAAAAAGCTCGCGTCATGACAAAAGCTGGATCGCCAGAGCATCACTCACAGAGTCACGGGTTCTCATGCTTCGTGGATGACATTGACCAACACTGAAGATTTCCCTTTTGCATCAACTGCGAGTGGATCCTAGAACTTAGCAGGTTCTCAAAATCCTGAACCCACATAATCTCGATGCATGTTCAAATCCGATGTCCTCCCCGACTCCAGCCGAAACCGGGCGTTGGGACCACCTTGTGTACATGGCACGACTGGCTATCGCAAATCAAACGCAACGGATGGTTTGAGACTGAGCAGAATCTTCAGCACATGATGCATCTGCAAGGTCATTTCCCAGTGCCTTGTTGCGTACTGAAAGCAACCGCGGCACATGCTAAAGATCAAACTGACAATGAGTTGCATCGTTACTACAAAACTACCTCTGTGCTGTGATGTACTAGGCCTGCTAAACTAAAAGCAGCATGTGGCAACGAATCATATTTTGACACGCCAACATTCACAGAGTGATGATACTGTGATGATCTTTCGTAACTTTTGCGATGCATGCATTCAATAATTTTCGATGGCTCATACTGGGAACTCATTCCTCCCCTTGGACTTACAATGCTCACTCCCTCGTCCTCCTCCTTAGTCTCGCTTGTCCTGATTTCGATCGCAGTTCTCACCAGCCCCACCCCACATCTTCTACAGAGTTCATGTCCTCACAAATTCCATTATCCTGAAACCTTGTTGTCTTGTGTTCTCCTCCACTTGTTCAGTATTGTTTTTTTACCAAGTCAACGTCACTGACTCTGGGTTCATTGCTGAAGTTCTAACGACAACGGCCGCCGACAACATGATCCTTTGTGATCAATGTGATCGCCATTGTGATTGTTGCGATCAGCAGCTCAGCATGCGCAGTACGACCAGTATTGATCAGTGTCATCATTCTGACGAGTATGATTATTGTCACAAGTCATTACTGCCTTTGGACAGTCTTCAATAACTTGTACAGCTTTTCGAAAGTCTCCCTATCACGTACACTCTACATTACATCTATGGACAATGCATTGACATGTTCAAACTGACTTGCCTCTCCAGCACCGCCATGCGCGACCTGCGCGGTTTCCTGCGCCCCTGTCCCACCACACTGGAGCCAAAGCCAACGGGGCGCTGATGCTTGGCCTGCGAAAACACTTGCACACAACGAAAATATAGCGGGGCCTCCGTTGTCATACTCGATTGTGAACGTGCTGCATATCTGTATCTGTATGGCCCCCTCAGCAACCTGCCGTTCTTGGATTGCGCTGTACAAGGAATAATGTCTTTATCTACATCCATGGTTACATCTCCATCTACATCTACACCCACACCTATATCTATATTGTCTATGTCTATATCTATATTCATATTTTTTTTTCGCCTGTCGACCGCGGTCCCAGTGCACGAGTACAACGGCCTACGGGCAGAGTCAGGACGCTGGCAGGCGGCTTGCGAGC